CCCCAAAACCCCAAAACCCCAAAACCCCAAAACCCCAACAAACACTTCGACCTTGAACTTATAATGATTTTCTTTGATCTTATAAGAGAGTTCGCCACATTTTAGACCTGATCAATTTTGACAAACATCTCATTTTCATGAATCCAATAAAAGTAGCCCTCTCCTTTGAATGTATCTATGAGCTCAAGTTTGAGCATCGTCAGAAGGTAGACAAGTCCTAGCTTCATGAAGTACATGCTAAAATTATCTCCTGAACATGCTCTCGGCCCAGCACCGAAGGCTAGCCACGTAATAGACTCTCTTTTCTGACCATTTGGTAATTTGAAATAAGATGATTCTGGGTCAAATCTTTCAGGAACGAACTTCAGGGGATCTTTCCAGATGTTTTCAGACACTCCAACTACTCAATTGTTAGGATAAATGATAGTCCCCTTTCTGACTGAAAATCCGCTTTTGAGTTTGAGATCCTCCTTGACTTTCATTGCTTTACCATAAAGAGGAGAACTTAATCTTAGTGTTTCTTTGATAACATAGGACATGTAATCAAGATCATGAAGCTTTGCATGAGTAGCTATTGCTTCTATCTCATCAAGTGAGATATCTTTACCTTCAAAGAGTTCGTCCTTGATCTCTCCATGAAGTTTCTCCAAGGATTTAGGGTTTCTGAGAAGGTAATAAAGTGCAGCAGTCAATGCGTTTCCACAACTAAGATGAGCTCCATTCAAAATTGCCCAGCCGTTTTGAACACCTTCATTTACATCTTCAAGGACTCCTTGTAATACTAATCCTATTGCTGCGTCTACAATGGTCTTCTTTTTCTCCGCTCCATTAGAAATTTCTGCCACTCTTGCTTCAACAAGGCCTATGAGAGCTTCTTGTAATGTTTCCATATTTTTGCATAAGTTCTCACAATGCTTATCTTTGGAATTATTTCTAAAGTTTCTATCATGACTAAACTCATCAGTCGCAGAATGCTTAGAAAAGTCTAGCATTGTTCTTGCATTGCAATCTTTAATATGAATAGTCTCTACTCCATCCATGCCATGGTAAGGTACATTGACATCAAGTTTGGATCCAATAAGAGAGTAGACAGCTGAATCGTATGCCATGTCAAGTATATCCTTTTGTATGTTCCTCTTTGAGCCTGAATTCTTTTTCCAAGTCTCTACCATATCTCTCATTGCTCTATTGAAGTGTCCAAAGTAAACCTCCATCCAGTCACTATGAAAAATGGGTGTCAGAGATTTTCTGATATCTTTTGAGTGTTTAGAAGTTGGAATGAAAGGTACTCCTTTAGGAGCATACCCTACAGCTTGTCTAAAGGGCATGGACTCCACTGGGCCTCCAAGATTTGTATAAGAGTATACCTCCTTAAGATCCTGTTGAGATACGGGAAATAGCCAAGTCTCTCCTGCGAGTTTAACACCAAAGTAGTCTCTTCCTTGAGCTCCAGAGGCTGAATATTTTCTCAAAGTATTAAAATGAGGAAGTCCATTATTGATTTCCTTTTCGAAAGTTTTAGAGTAGGAATTTTTGTCAGAAACAAAAAGTACATTTTGCTTCTCGTAGAACTCGATATCATCAGCTTTAGCATCATCACCTCTCCCAGCATCTCTGACAGCATTTCTTGTGTCCTTCTTACTAAAGTAAAAATATAGCACTCATCCTAAAAGGAGGAGGAGAATTAATTCTTGCATTTACTAATCTTATCAATGAATCCAACTAGATTTTCTAAATAGGGGTTTTGGGGTTTTGGGGTTTTGGGGTTTTGGGG